TCATAAACAAAGATTCTGTCAATGTTAATGTTAAAGTTAAGATAAATATATATAATCCTTTGACCATAAACCGGATTTTCTTGTTGCCTTTTCCTACTCCTCCACCTCACGTTGCTTTCCTTTTGTTCTAAATTGTTTTTATTTGATTTTGTTTTATTCTAATTTAATATGTATTTATAGCTGCAAAAAGGCAAGTGTTCATTTCCTTTAAATTTCTACCCAGCTCTGCTTGAAAACTAAACTTTCGCTATTAAATAGAATCAATACAACTCAATAGTGCAATATTTATACACTCAGAGCACCCCCCCCCTCCCCACCCCCCTCCCGTATCCATAAAATTGTCAACTAATTTTAATCTTCCATACTTGCTATGCATACATATGTTTCTCTGAAGGGGGAGTTACTATATATTTTAGGCGTTTAAACTTGATTTTCCAGTACAATTGAAAACCTTGTCGATTGAGTATATTGAAATAAAACTCTGAGACAAGTTTCTACTCCGTGAAAATGTATATAGAAGAGAAATGTCCAGAGCCGGCGATTTAAAAAATTCAAGAAAATACGACTCAGGTCTAAGCTGTCGTTGAGCCTTATTTGCGGCTCGGGCTTTCGGATTTAAGTTGCATCTAATTTTCAACAGAGAGTTTAGTTCATATTACCGGTTTAATGTTGTATTTGGCGGATTTTCATGGTTGGAATTGGCGCATTCCGGGTTTTGATGATAATAAGACCCAACATTGAGCCTTATTCTTCACTAAAACCAACCAAGGTCGGTTTTATTTTCATTGGGCCTAACTCCTTAAGTCGAGCCTAAGATCTCGCAGCTGTCAATCACGTGACACAAGCTGTCGTCAGAGTTGGGTCGAAGATTGGGTCTTAAAGTCGGGTTTAAGGAATTACGGCTCGAGCCGAAGCTTTTAAATCGCGGGCTCTGATAGTTTTAAGAAATTGAAAACTATCTAAATCACAATAATTCAATTAAATAATAAAAGTTAAAACTTTTAAATAGCTCATAATAATTGAAATTTTTTAATCTCATTATCTTTGCAACCTAATGGTGTACATTTTTGATATTTCTAGCTTATAATTTTTTAATCTAATATATTATATATTTCATAGTTTGAAATATCAAAGGTCTACAATATTGGGTTGCAAACAAAGATTAGATAAACAATCTCTATGTGGCATAATGGAAGCTCAAAACTATTTTGTTCTTTTTAACATCTCTTCAAAAGAGGAGCTATATCATTGAAAGAAATTTAGAAACTAAATTTTTGCCACAATTACCCATATTTTATAATCCCTATATTTTTGCAACCTGGTTGTGTTAATCTTTGACGTTGATTTAGATTTTTGATCTATCATAATTCATAGTTTGAATATCAAAGGTTACACCATTAGGTTGCAAAGATTTTGGGATTATAAATCAGAGTTTGTGGCAAAAACTCAGTTGTTTTTATCCGAAATAACGGATATTACTCCGGGATTTAGTAACTCCTCTAGGCAGTATCGGGATCGTGGGATCGGGATTAATGTTTTCATGTTCCAGAAAAGCTTAAGAATGAGCGGGAAAGGTAGTGTCGGGATCGTAGGATCGGGATTGATCGGGAAAAGTTGGGCAATGATCTTTGCTAGTGTTGGATACGAGGTTTGTCAATATTTTTGCTGAACATTTAAAAAAAAAAAGCTTTTTGAACATTTCAAAGCCATGGTGCAAAGATTAACACTATATTTACATTTCCTAGCTTGGAAACCCAGATTTACTTGGACACTGAACTTTCTCCATGAAAGTCAATTTATTCAAGTTAAAATTTTTAAACCAAGCTAAGAACATTTCCTTGGTTCTATTAAGTTCCCCTAATCAAAATTTGAGGCAAATCTGGAAAATTTTCAGATCTATATTTGAACTGGATTGAAGTTTAATTTGAAGTATATGTACTCCAGGGAAATCCTAAATAAAAAGAACCAGACTGTGTCGTTTCTGAAGTCTCATCCTTTGTGGGTTACCCTGTAGTTGGTTCGTTTTTAAGAAAATAAGCTTTTAAATAATGTTTACATTTGTAATTTCTATATAAGAAATGTTCTCTGCAGGTGAAACTGTTTGATGTTGAGCCCAGCCAGGTGTCCACCGCCCTGGAGAACATCAAGTCAGAGCTCCTGGAGTTCGAGGAAGCAGGAACACTCCGGGGAACTCTACCAGCAGTGGAACAAGGAAAACTGATCACTGGAACCTCTAGTCTCAAGGACTGTGTCCAGGACGCAATATACATCCAGGAGTGTGTCCCGGAGAACCTGGAGTTAAAGATCAAGGTTTGGACGGAGATCGATGGTTTGGTAGATGAGACAACTATTCTTGGTTCATCAACATCTTGCATTGGTAAGGTTTAGACAGGAAGAAGGAGAGAAAAAACGAAAAAAACAATATTTAAATTTTAAAAATAAGTTCTTTATGATAAAGAACAAATATCACAAGTAAAGCACAAGTATCACAAGTTAAAGAACAAATATCACAAGTTCAAGAACAAGATTCACAAGTTAAAGAACAAATATCACAAGATAATGAACAAATATCACAAGTTAAAGAATAAATCACACGTTAAAAAACAAATTTAAGTAATTAAAGAACAAAATCACATATTTAAGAACAAATATCACAAGTTAAATAACAAATATCACAAAATAGAGAACAAGATTCACAAGATAAAGAACAAATATCACAAGTTAAAGAACAATTATCACAAGCCAAAGAAAAGAAATCACAAGTTAAAAAACAAATATAACAAGTGAAAGAACAAATATCACAAGTTAAAGAACAATTATCACAAGTCAAAGAAAATAAATCACATGTTAAAGAGTAAGAATCAGATGATAAAGAAAACAATTCATATGTTAAGAAAGAAATTTGAAAATATTATGCTTAGAATAACAACTAAATTATAACTAGACATACTTATTAAATAGACTTACATTAGTTTAGGATTGATCAGTAATCAAATTATAACGAATTAGAGTTGATTTATGCTATGTAAATATGTAAAATTATCAAAATGTTTAGTTCCGAGCCTTATCTCTGAGAAACTAAAGAACCGGGAGAGATTCATAGTTGCTCATCCCTGCAACCCTCCATACCATACACCAATGGTGGAGCTAGTTCCTGCACCCTGGACTAACCAGGTAACCCACCCTGGACTAACCATGTAACCCATCCTGGCCTAACCAGGTACCCCACCTTGGACTAACCATGTAACCCATCCTGGACTAACCAAGTACCCCACCCTGGACTAACTAGGTACCCCGCCCTACATTAACCAGGTAATCCAGCCTGGACCAACAAGTTACCACAACCTGTCCTCTCTCATAGTTATTGCTGTATTTTTTAAACTTTCGTTTTAGTTTAAAATTTGATACTTTTCCTGAATCAACTTTTTAAGTGCAAGGAATTTATTCCTGAAAGAAAAATATTATCAAAAGTCTGACTATAGATTTCTTTAAAATAGCAGGTTTATGAAATTGGAGATTATGAGAGTGAAAAAAGAATACATCTAATATCATTCATAACAAAACAAATTTAAACTATACCATTAATATATGTAATATGTAATATATGTATGTATATTAAATGTGTGTGAATAAATCTTTAACAAAATAAAAATTGGTATGAACGGTCCCAGAGAAAACAAGAAAACGAATAATGAATTATTTTTTTTTCGTTCTCACAAAATAACATAAATGATTTTCAGATGGTTTAAAACCAAATATTCTTGCATTGAATAAGTATGACTTCTTGACCTAGCTGAAATAGATTCCATACCAATTCAAGCAAACTTAACACGGATGAAAATCAGTCCCCAACTTTTAAAAACCGGATCGAATTTTAAGTATTACCAGGCCTAGACTCTTGTTGTGGTCTTAAACTTAAATTTTGTTTGTCAGGAGACCCGTGACACAACCAGGGAACTGATGTCAGCTATAGGTCAGGGACCGGTCAGCCTCTCCAGGTAAAATTAGATGGATAGATAGATCGAACGATAGGTAATGGATCCTCCATCTTATTAAGTTTAAATAATTCTTTTCTCGCGGGGTTTCAACAATCTCTTATTCGTTAAACCTTATACTCACCGCAAGGAAGAATGAATTTAACTCTTTTAAATCGATTTGGATTAAAGATCCATTCATTCAAAAGTTTCCAGTTCAGATACATCAAGAACCCAGTCAAAAACTATTTCTAAATGTTATTTTATTTTTCGAATTTCATTTACTTCTCGCATTATTTACATGAATTATAGGTTATGAGAGTAAATTTCAATAAGACTAACTACGGGATAAAACAAAAAATTCTTCTTAAGGATGTCAAATGTAAATGTATACGGCTATCTGTTAAAAAAGTGAACCATTCGAATACAAAGGAACTGATCGCTCGCCTCATACTCCTACCTACTAACACTACATCTAGTGATTTTCTTTCGGATAGTTCGGTTATCGGTCGTTTTTCGCCTATACGTTCTTTCAAGGTCAAAATTTGGCACAATGTCAGATAAGCAAATATTTTTAAATTTTTTATTCTTAACATTTGCATTTCTTAAGTTTGTCAAATTTTGACCCTGGCAGAGGATATATAGAAAAAACGACTAAAAACGACTCAAATTAGTTTTTCAAATTTTTTTTATGATTAAGATGTAGCAAAGTTTAATAAAGGTAAATAATCAATAAAATACACTTTTGAAACCTTGTAAATCTTTTAAATCTTGTAAGTTTTAATGAATCTTTTTTCTGAAAACGATCCAAACCGATTAACAACACTACCTAAATCTTGAATGTTACAAAGATATCAGGTTGCAAAGATATAATGATCAGAACATTTGAGTATGAGGAGAGTGATCAGCTACTCTTCACAAAAGTTGTAAAACTTGTATGTGCAGGGAGCTGCCTGGGTTTGTGCTGAACAGGATCCAGTATGCTCTTCTCAACGAGTGCTGGAGACTTATCCGGGACGGAATAGTTTCTCCACAGGTATGAAGGATTTATCAAAAGTAAGGGTGAATTTCTCCGCATGTAGGAAGAATTTCTCTGCTTGTAGGACGGATTTTCCTACAGATAGGACGAATTACTCTGCAGGGAGAAAGGATTTTCCCCCCAGATTATTCCGAAGTTAAGGACGGATTATTCCGAAGTTAAGTACGGATTAATCCGAAGTTAAGGACGTATTATTCCGAAGTTAAGGACGGATTACTCCAAAGTTTAGGACAGATTACATCGAAGTTAAGGACCGATTATTCTGAAGTTTAGGACGGATATTATTCCAAAGTTTAGGACTGATTATTCCGAAGTTATGGACGGATTATTCCGAAGTTAAGGAAGGTTTATTCCGAAGTTTAGGACGGATTACTTCAAAGTTTAGGACAGATTACATCGAAGTTAAGGACAGATTATTCTGAAGTTTAGGACGGATATTATTCCGAAGTTTAGGACTGATTATTCCGAAGTTATGGACGGATTATTCCGAAGTTAAGGAAGGATTATTCCGAAGCTTAGGACGGATTACTCCAAAGTTTAGGACAGATTACATCGAAGTTAAGGACGGATTATTCTGAAGTTTAGGACGGATATTGTTCCGAAGTTTAGGACTGATTATTCCGAAGTTATGGACGGATTATTCTGAAGTTAAGGACGTATTATTCCGAAGTTAAGGACGGATTACACCGAAGTTTAGGACGGATTACATCGAAGTTTAGGACGGATTACTCCGAAGTTTAGGACCGATTATTCCGAAGTTTAGGACGGATTATTCCGAAGTTTAGGACGGATATTATTCCAAAGTTTAGGCCGGATTACTCCGAAGTTTAGGAAGGATTATTCGAAGTTTAGGACGGATTACTGCGAAGTTAGGACGGATTAATGCGAAGTTTAGGACGGATTTCTTCGAAAGGATGACAGATTTCTCCGCAGTGAACGGATTATATGAATAATTCATATGTATAATAGGACCTGGATGTGGTGATGAAGGATGGGATGGGGATGAGATATGCTCTGATGGGTCCAATGGAAACCATTCATTTGAACGCAGACGGAACGCAGAACTATTGCGACAGATACGGAGAAACCATTTTCAATGTTTCATCTGACTCCGGACCCGTCCCAACAGGGTGGAAGTAAGATTTTAGAACATTTTTAAAATATCTTTAAACTAAAATAATTTCTATCTAAAACTCAATCTCAAATTTTAACTTTATTAATTCAAAAATATTTAGTTTTAATTTTTCCAAACACAAGACTGTAAGAAAGTAACTTTATGTCTGGAACCAGATTTCTCCAACTTTTTTTTTAATCTTTGTGACAGAAACAATCTCAAGAACGGACGAGGGTCAACCCAGGCCGAAATATATTTTCAATAAATGTGGAACTAACATCTACTTTTTTTACTCTACAGAGGTTTGGTCCATCACCATCACCGAATTTTAAATCTACCTGAACCCTGATGGATCCTATAAATTCCTTATAAAGTAAATACTAGAGGTTTGGTCAGAACTGCAACATACATAAATTCTTTTTTTTTGTGTTTCTCACTGAAAATGTGAATAAAAGTATAGAAAGTGCATCTTATAAGATTGTTTTATTCCTCCCGCAAACCAAAATTTTCTTTTTGTTAATTAAAGTTTCTAAATTTATCTTGGTCACCTAAATAAGGAAATGATTACTCTCTCAAACTCTTATTTTAAAATGCTTTTATCTTTACAGCCTGGTGTATTATGATGTGTATGAACAATGCTAGATTTATTAGTCAAATGTTGGAATATCACAGGTTTACACCCATAATATTGCAACGATATAAGAATTTGAAAATTCCTTTGGTTAAAGAAAATGCTAACTCTAATTTTATACACCTTAAATCTTTTCACCCTGATTACCTCCAATATGTTGCAAAAATATAGGGATTACAAAATTAGGTTTGAGGGGAGTAATCAGTTTATCTTGTTCAGACAGGAGAGTGAAGCTGACCGAGCTGAAGTAGCTGCTCTTCATGCTGCTCTGTGTGAGACAGTACCCCTGGAGAAGCTGTATGAGAGACGGGTTTGGAGAGATAAAGGTTTAGCTGCTCTTGGTAAACTAAAGAGGGATTTGGCTAAATCTGCAAAGGATGAATAAACCACTTTAAAAAATCGAAATTTACTGAGCGGAAGGAGAAAAAATGTCCAAAATGTTTCATATAATAAATTTTTATCTTTGAAATAAATGAATTTAGTTCTACTTCTTCTCTTGAAAACACAATCAGAGGAATATTTTATAAACCCCCCCCCCCCTAATTTTCGCTCAATACCCACTAGATTTTTAAGTCAGATGGTGTTTTTTAAGGTGATAATAACATTGGGTAAAAGTACTGAATCTATCTATCCAACAAACGTCAAAACGTTTGAACTGATCGGGCTCAAATTTTGTTTGGGACCTCACATGACTCCAGGGAAAGATGCTCAGAATTATTAAAGGTTGTCTCAAATTAAATTTTTTCGTAAAATTTTTAAAATTCGCAGTTTTTTTTTTTAAATCCGCCAAATTTATTATTGTTTTAGTTTGAAGAGAAAATGCTTAAAAGATGGGCGCGAAGTGCTCTGATATCCTGTTAGAAGTAAAAAAACTTTAAACTTTATATAGATAAACTTAAAACAGTTGTCTCTTGTCCCCAGTAATTCCCATCTTTCGGATCACTCTTGATTTAAAAAAGTTTCTAGTGAATCGAGAGAAAAAACTGAGAATTAGAAAAAATGTCGAACACATTTTAGTGATTTTACTGCAAAAAGTGCAATGTTAAACACTTTTAGTAAAAAAAACTAGTTTGGGATGAATTTTAGGGGAGGAAAAATTTTCCCCCTCCCTCCTCTGTCACTGTCCGAATTTCGACATTAAAATGACTAGAATGACAACATTTTTGATTTCTTTTTATTCCGACAGTCATATAGATTTTTAAAAAAGATTTCCTAGGCCGAGCGCTGCGACCATATGTCAGGGGGGAGGTCCTATAGGCTTAAGTGGAAAAAATTGGAGATGTTCAGGGTTCAGTTTTGCAAGTTACTTTTTTATTTCTTCACCCCAAAAATTAAAATGTTTTAGATCATTTCACTCTTTTTCCCAATTATTCTTTAATAGAAAAACACGCTAATTGAAGTTGAGGTTTTACACATCAAAACAAAAATAATATTTCTTTCGAATCTTAGGATGAGATTACAGCGACGATAGTAAGAATTTTACTCTTCAATTCATAGTCTCAGTTTACTTGTTTTTTTCTATCCAATTGATAACTTTTATTTTATCAATTTCCCTCTAGAAAACTATTTGCAATACAGACACAAAATTCAGTATTGTGGTCGTTAAAAAATACAAAAAAACATACAATAGGAAAAAAATCTATTCCGCATAATTTACAAGACAAAATATTGGTCCAAAACTGGTTGACATATTAATAATACATACTATCCAAATATAACGATATTGGTAGCAACGATTCTAATTTCTCCTTCTTGATGGTTTAGTTTCTCCGGGTTCTACGCTTAGTAGTGGATATCTTCGGATCCTGATTCAGACCAGTGCTCGAGGACTTCTTGACAATCGCTTCATCAGATTTGCTCTTGGGAAGAGTCTTATTGGCAACAGGTTGATCAGATTTACTCTTGGGTGCGGTCTTCTTGGAAGTAGGTTGGTCAGCATTATCACTGCTGGAGGCGGACATCTTGGCAACTGGTTTCTTGGTTCCAATCTTGGGTGGAGACTTAATGTCAACAATCTTGTCGGTTCTGCCCTTGGGGGAAAACCGACAAGCCAAAGAAGCCTTCTTGACTTTGGAAAGGCTTGTTGACTTCCTCTTATCCTTGGACAACGTCAACATCTTTACATTGGACTTAGCTCCAGAGGCCTTTGCGTCCTGACGTCCTGCTGGAGCAGCGAGCTTGTAACAACCCGAACCCTTCATCCCAGTAGACCCGGCCATCACTATCTCACCCTTATCCAGTAACCTTTTCAGGTTCAGGTTCAGGTGTCTCCGAGTATTGGCAGACTTATCAACATCGAACTGCATGGTGATGTAGTTGAAGATGGCAGGACGGGATACACCACGTTTATTCTTCAGTTCTCGAATGGAAGTAAGAACCATCTCTTCATATCTTGGATGTGCTGCTGCTTTCTTCTTGGTTCCTGCTCTAGCCAGCATAAAGACTCTTGATGCTGTCTTCTGAGTTGCTGATATCTCACGGGCCTGTCCTAGTATACGATTTTTGGACCCCCCCCCCTCCTATCAATTTTGTACATGACCATTTATTTGTCAGCAAATTTATTATTATTTATTTTTTTGTTATTTAGGGTTAGGTTAGGTTAAGATACTTTNCTCTCCTAGACTTTACAAATACCGAAATTCGTATGTACTGTATATACCTACAGTACACCCTTCGGTTCAAAATCGTATCCTAGGAAATTACCTATCTCACCCACATAGAATTGACTAGTCTTCATGGTCCTTCCCATTTTGGTTGCTGGATCTAGTGTCGACTGGGATGACTAATAGTTAATACTATCGAAGAAAATGCTCGTGATAATTAACAACGATCTCGGTGAATTGCTGCTGTGAACTGTGACACAGATGACAGTACAACAAAAGTGCACAGAGTATACACATGGTCAAACTGTGATTGGTCCGCAAGGCAAAACCTTCAGCGAAATCGGCGAATGCTATTGGTTTATTTTAAACCCGAAATATTCCTGAGGCCGTTCCTTCCATAAACTACATTCGTCGACAACTTGACGTCTCCTGTAATGGTCGTCAAATGTACGGAGAAAAGTTACTCAACCCCAATAATCCTCCCTAAATATGCATGTAATGTATATGATTCCGATTATTTAGATATACATTTATTAAACAATTTTCTTATTGATATGGAACATTAAAATTATCAAATATAGTTTAAAGATGGTTTCAGATTAAATTCGCGGCTTTTGAAAATTCTCCGTCTTAACGATATATTTCCAGTTTCAGGTTTAGGTTTGGCTCCTTCTCCTTGTACCCCCTTAACCAGGCTCTCTTCTTCCTCTCCGGCTTCGAGGTTTAGAGAGAGCTCATGAGACAGGAGGGATAGTTGATCAAGGACGGATGAGAGTCTAGCACTTGACTCCGGGGTTCGTTCCATCCTCAAGGTTTGTATTCGTGAGGTTGGATTCTCTCTCGGGGGTTGCGGGGTATAGGGAGACATATCAACTGTTATTGTTAACCTGTACATATCCCGCCTAAAACAGAAACAAATTAATAATAATGATTTTTTATATTATCTACTTAAATGTAATTTAATATATATCTATTACCTCAAGGTTTGGGTGAGAATTCTATTTTTCTCCGGGTTCAGGATTGAATAGAAACTGATTCTTTCCTCGGGTTCTTTCTTCTCCAGGAAATGCCCGGTACTGGAGAGGGTTCGGTTCTCCTGTGCCTGGTCAACCAGAAAACATGAGAGTTCGGAGAAATAGTTGATCAGGATTTTAATCCTTTTGACCAGGGATTTATGGAGCTCTAGATCCTCTGTATTGGAGACAAGGATCTTGGCAGCAGCTCTAACCTCCCACACTGCTCGCTCCGTCCTCACTAGAGGATGTGTCTCCGCTAGCGGGTTCGTCTGAGCTCCGCCCAGCTCCTTCCAAGATAGATCTACTCCCATCTCACACATTCCAACCAGGAGAAGGATCTGGTTCTTCAAGATCTCTGGTTCCTGCTCGTACATATTCTCAAATATCTAAACAACAAAATCCAAGAACGGATTTGGAAAATTCTACAGACACAGTGAAACCCATAAAAATGTAAAATAGAAAGACGACTTTTAGACTCAAGTTATGATTTTCAATAGGTTTAATAAGTTGATTTTCAATTTCTTTGATGAAACTATTAACTTTAGAACAACTTCAATAGCACATAATTTGCATGTCTAAGGCTATCATTTTATGTTTTTTACCCCCCCCCCCCCCAATTTCCCTGGAGCGGAATATAAAACCTGTTTAGCAATCTTCTTTGTTTCTATGAGAATAATGATGGATAAAGCTGTTGGATCAACAATCTTCTTCAAGGTTGAGATTAGGTTCTCCTGAGCTAACCTCCAAACCTGTCGGAGCAATCGAACCATCCTCCGGTATTCGTCCTTCTCCGGGTACAGATACATCTACATAGAAAGATTTTAATGATACAGTTTATAAAAATAAAGTAGTAATCTCTGTTTTGTCTGTCGGTATGTTCGGATCATTTAACTCATGAACCCCTAGACCAACTTGCTTCAAATTTTAATTGGTTTGGAAATTCTAAGTTGTGTGTAGTTGACTTTTATAGCCAAAGAGTTGTTTTTCAGGTAAAGCTGGGTTCTCAAGGTAGAATGTAATAGAAGAGTTTAACATGATCTATCAGCATGCAAACATGAATTTGAAATAGAAAACAATTGAGAACAGTTTTTCATAAGAGAGACCGGATTTAATGAATTTGAGCCAGGCTCTAGAGACGGTTAAACCACGTATCTTGAATCAGTAATTCAGGATTTGTCCCTGTCCCACAGAACCACTGCAGAACCACAGATTTGAATCAACAGTAGGAAGTTAAGCAACCAAGCTCAAATTCATTAAATTCGGTCCCAGGCCCAACATTTTTTCCTTTCAAAAAAAGAGCACGAATAAAGATTGTCCAGTAACATGGAAATAAAGTAACGACAATATCATTTTAACAAAAAAAATGTTAAAAATATAAATATAAAAAGTAAAAATATATTGAATGAAAGCTTGATATTAGTAAAAGTAGGTTAACAATTTGATGCTGCGTAGTTAAAAGACGATCTTCAAATCCTTGTACCTGTAAAACTGCTGGGACAAGTTCTGGTTCTACGATCTGGAATATCCGAGCTGAGGTTTGGATCGTGGCTGCATACTCCAGGTTCCTAGTGCAGCGAGAANATCCGGAATTATTAAAGGAATTTTTATTCCTTCTAATCTGGAATCATTAAAGGGATTATTTACTTCTAATCCGGATACCTAATAACTAAAAACAGATTGGGTTTGACGATGTTTAGGTCCTAGGATTACAAATAACAATTTGTTTTGCCACAAACTCAAATTTTCCCATCACTTTTTCTCTGAAACTTGATGGTTTAAACCGTTGAAATTTAAGACCATTAGATCTAAAAGAATTCCTAGTTTAAAATATCTAAGGTTTATGACATTGGGTCTCAAAGTTTGTGGCAAAAACTCAGTTACTCTGTTTGCCAGTAATAATAACCTTTTGGTTTGATTATTTGATTCATAAAATTCATTTTTCCAGTCTCTTGGAATAATGTCAGTAAGCTTTCTCTCACCTATCAACTAAAGACTGTAGATCCTGTTCACTTCTCAGCTCTACCTCCTTGGTTGAGTTTAGAGCTTCCAGGACTAGGGTCTCCAATGGGTTCTCAACACTACCCAGTGTTCTACAGTATACCCGGAGCAGTCCTGTATTCATCTTCTCCTCTAGAACCTGAACCAGGTCCCTCACACCATCTGCACTGGTTCCAAGATATGAGCCTTCCTCAGGTTGGCAGGTTTTCAGGTTCTCTAACCTGTCCGCTAGTCCACGTGACACTAAATAATGTGCGGTTGTCATCGTATATATTATTAGACTAAAGACGACGTTCTATTTAAATTTTTATTTCTTCCAAGTTTTCAAACAGTATGGATACACATAAACATGAAAACAAAAAGAAGCTCTCAAATTTACAGCGTCTCTTTGTTTACTTGTAAACTTATAATTTCAAAAAAAACTCGTTAGAAATCAAAACTTGAATCGAAAAGTCGTCTTCATTGCATTGATATAAACGGAAGATATAGGAAGATGCCATTTCATACATCTTATTTTGTTTTTGATGTTGTTATAAAACAAAAAGTTTTAAAAGTAGTTTAAAATACAAATTATTTGTTTAAGTTCTTTAAAAATCTATAGTTTAAGCTGTAAAGTGTAAACGGATGTATATGTTTATCCGTACCTAGAGAAATCTCATCCTCGTCCTCAGCACAACAGATCTTCGAGACTTGGAGGCCGTATCGGAGAATCTCAGTGACGAGGTTGCACAACTCCGCATCCGAGGTTGTCTCGTCCTCCAACACCTGGTCCATCAGGTTCAAGAGGAACCCAACCTTGGACTTCGTCACGCAGTTCTTCTCAAATATCACGAGAATCTCTGAGATGAAGGTTTCCAGGTTTCTGAGAATAAAGGTTTTAGTCTCCTCTGATTCTCCGTCTATACAGTAGAATAGGTATGGGAGGAATATTTTTATCAGTTGAACTCTAATATTTACTTCTTCTCTCTGACTGGACACCGGACAATCCAAATATCTTAACAAAAATAGATTTATTTTTGAAATTGCTTGAGTACTTAGGGGGAGATAATACTAAAGGAGTTTAGGGACAGAACTAAACTTTACATCTCCTGAGATGGAATTTAAAGAATTTGAGCCGCGGTTTAAATCCACCAAAACCCGGTTTAAATTAAGCGCCGGCTTAAATATTGAAACATTTGATACAAATTTAAGTGAAACCAACCATATTTAAGCCGCGGCTTAAATTTAAACCGCCGCTCAAATTCTTTAAATTCGGCCACTGAACGTTAACACAACGTGATAGAAGCGATCTAAATTCCAAGTAGCTTCTGCTTGACACCTCCCTTGATTGAAGGGTTCACAATCATCATCAGGTTGAGTGACTATAGCCAGCTTCCGGTAGTATCGTGCTTTGATTTGATTTCCTTAGCATAGGGTGCCTGGAGAACGGTGTGTGGACACTGGCCCTTAACATCCGCTGGCGGTCTGGGGATCCAACAATGGTGGTCTACCACAATCTTTTCTTTTATTTATTTATTTGAGTATTCCAGCAATATTGTTTACATAAATTTTCATTAACTACATTTTTCATCTTATACTCATGAAAAGAAAAAAAATCAGATATCGCGTTCAAGAAGTAACTTAACTTAATTGGTTAAACAATTCAAAGAGTAATCAGTTTGAATCAAAAACTAACAATTATGAATTGAATTGTTTGAAAATAAGGAGAAAGAAAAAAGAAGTAGAATAACAATTAGATCCGAAGCAAATTGCGGCATAAAAAGCAAATCCTAACTGTAGAGAAAATGTTACCTTTCCCCCGTAACTTTCAGAAAATTTCTGATTTTCTTTCCAACAGACTTTATGAGCTCCAGACTGTTACTGTTTTCATCTCTACTCATGGATTCGAGATTATCCAGGACGGATTCGGTTGACTCCCGGAGTAGGTTGAGAAGATCCTCATCAATCCGCCGGAGAGCAACAAGACATGAGCTGACAGGATCAGGGTTCTCGGAAGATTCTGGAACTAGTTTGCTTAGCTCCCGGAGCAAACCTTCTACGGATTGTCCTTGTATGGCTGGGACGGAGGAGTGCTCACTCTGCTCAGGTTTGAGTTTTAGCAATGATTCCGCTAATTGAAGAGTTGATTTCCATCTTAACTTTCTCAAACTAGTTTCAAAACTTGGTTTTTCCATTTCAAGCAGATATTTAATATCACTATATTAAAATTTGAAGGAGCGAATAGTCTCACGTCCGCACAATGATGTTTACAAGTGAGAATTGAAAAATAACCGCCTTGTTTTCATATTTTGTCAGCTGATTACTCCAGGTCCTCTGATTGGTTGGCTCCAGGTGGTTTCCAACCCGTCTCAACTCCAGGTATATCAAACTATCACGCGGGGTTTAAATACTATTATAGTAATATATTTCTGTTAGTATTCATTTTGTCAATTTGGTTTAAATTCTAATAGGTTTAAACAAAAAAAATTACGACGCAACAAAGTTCTCTAAAGTTCTCTAAAGATCTCTAAAGTTCGGGATTATAATTGGTGGGGGGGGGGGGGGGGGGGCACTCTCACCTTCCCTTTTTGCTCCTGAAATATGCCGAATACCTATTCTATAGGAAGGGAGGAATGTGAATAAATTGAATTCGCGGATTTGTAATAATTTATCTTTGCAGACAAGATTGCACATTTTCCTTAATTATCTAAACAACAGTAAACTAAAAATGCACAATTAACTATACAGAATATAAAAAGATTCTATTTTGTTCCTATATTTATAAATATTATTAGAGAAGAATTTAATTTTGTACACCTTTATGCATTATGTACGCTACTGTTGTAATATTTGGGTGTGATGGCCGTTATGCTTTGTCATGTCAAGGTTTGCATGAATTTAACAGATATTGCATGATCAGCTTTAGTTATTTAGTTGTATTTCATTATTCACTATTTAGAGTTGTATTTCATAATTCATTATTCATAATCCCGAAAAGATTCCAGATTGAACATTTTTTTAACATTTTTTTCCATCTTCTTTCCTCTCTTTTCTAATTTTTTCCTTCTTTTCTTCTTCTTCTTCTTTTCTTTTTGTCTCCTCTTTTTTTCTTCCTTCTTTTTACCCCCCCCCCTTAATTTCTTGTTGTTTACTTCCCTGTTCTATCTCTCTTTTTTCTCTCATCTTTTATTTTTTCTTCCCTTTTCTCCCATCTTCCTTCTATTATCGTTCATTTTTTCTTCCCTTTTCTCCCATCTTCCTTCTACAATCGTTCATTTTTTCTTCTCTTTTTTCCCATCTTCCTTTTAACATCGTTCATTTTTTATTCTCTTTTCTCCCATCTCCCTTTTAACATCGTTCATTTTTTTATTCCCTTTTCTCCCATCTTTCTTCTATACCATCGTTCATTTTTTCCCTCCCCTTTTCTCCTTGTCTCCTCTTTTTTTCTTCTCTCAATTTTTTATTCTTTTACTTTCTTCTTGTTTTCTTCATCTTTTCTTCCCTTATTTCCATTTCTTTCCTTTCCTTCTTTCCCATTCTTTACGTCGTCTTCTATTCTTCTATTCTTCTTTTCCTCTTTTTCCTCGTAATTCTAGAGCTGTAAATACCGCGGCGTAAATTTAAGTATATTGCTCATTCATACGCATTACGCACTCTGTCTGCTGATGAGAAGAGTTGAGAGATGAACTGGTCTGAACCCTGAGCTGAAGATGTTATACCTGCCTTCTTTTGGGTTCGCACAGTTTCTCCCCCTGCTCAGCTGAGCTGTAGTGTAGTGTTAAGATACCCGGAGTAAACCTAAACAAAAAATACGTTCCTTCAAATTTCAACTTATGTATTCAATAAAAATAATACAATTGTGATAGTGATGACAATTACATAATGGTATAATTGTGAGACTGATTAAGGAAATATTAAAGAATGGAGAAGAAAGAAAATAATCCAACCCGACATAATGTACATTTTACATTTTATAAGTTTGTAGAGCAACTTCCCTTAAACAACATTATGGAGAAACCAGAGAATCGAAAAATTTGAGAATCTGAGATCCGAAAAATGGATGAAACGGGAGAGGGTAAATTCGAGGAGAAGATCTCGAACCTGAACCTCATCTGCTGTTATCTCAACTATGCACAGAGGTAATGTATCAATGCTATTAGCTATTTATTGGGAGTTTATGGAGAAGGGATTTGAATACTTGCCACAAACTATAGCATCTTTGCAGCCTAATAGTTTTCATTCTTTAAAATTTCTAACTGACTACTTGGTCTAAATCAAAGGTACTACATCAGGGTTCAAAGATAAAGGAGTTTGTTGCAAGCAATCAACTACTTTATGAATTTTTGTAAACACTCCTCGTACCATGTGCATGGTGACAAAAGGGAATGATAGTTTAGGATTTGAAACACGTCAAACAAAGACTACATACATATTACATGTATATTAAACTTGTTTTTAACTAAACAATTAACAATAAACAAATGTGCTCTCCTAGACTTTACAAATACCGAAATTCGTATGTACTGTATATACCTACAGTACACCCTTCGGTTCAGTATTACTTACACACACTACCTAGGTATACAAACACACATATCTGTCATACATGACGTTTCCGCCCCCTGGTTTTCAATAGTGACTTCTTTAATTAAAGAGCTATCGAGAAGAACAAAAATATTTTAGATTTCTGAAATATAACCGAATAAATTTGTTGATTTCATATTTAAAATTAAAACTGCAGGAGAGCTTGCTCTGGTACCGCTTGATTTTAAAATAACTATCGTGCCAAGAAAGGTATATATGAGAATACTTTTAAGTCATATATCTATATATATTTATAAAGTAGTAATATTTGTTCAGATATCCGATCATAACTCATGAATCCCTGGACCGATTTGCCTCAACTTTTGATTTGGGAACTCGTCACAAGAATGTTCTTAACTTTGATTTAAAATTCAAAGTTGAGGGGGTCGACTTTATAATTCAAAGTTGAGGGGGTCGACTTTATAAATGAAAGTTTTATTTTTCAGTTGTGATGTATTCTTATATTCATATGTACTTTAAAGAGAACCCCTTGAAAAATCACTTTCCTAACAAGTCTTCTTCTTTCTCTTAGTTTCTCCAATTTTTATGCTGTTTTGAAAAAATTGTTTTGCTGTGACTATTGTGTTTAATTTATTTTGTTCGAATTTCAAACTTCAGTTTTCCTTATGTCTTAAAAATACATCGGATGGAATTCAGAACATGAACATCTAGTGATTTAAAATATTTTTTATTTGCATCCCATCATTATACCTGTGTATACTCAGGGTCGGAGATGAGAATAGTATTGTATGTAAGGACTCCTGTGTATACTCAGGGTCGGAGATGAGAATAGTATTGTATGTAAGGACTCCAGTGTATACTCAGGGTCGGAGATGAGAATAGTTTTCTATGTAAGGACTCCTGTGTATACTCAGGGTCGGAGATGAGAATAGTATTCTATGTAAGGACTCCTATGTATACTCAGGGTCGGAGATGAGAATAGTATTCTATGTAAGGACTCCTATGTATACTCAGGGTCGGAGATGAGAATAGTATTCTATGTAAGGACTCCTTGTATACTCAGGGTCGGAGATGAGAATAGTTTAAGAAAACATTTTCTTAAACTTTCCAGACTTGTAATACACATTCAACAACATGGATCTATTTAACAAAACTGCAAATTATGAAATTTAGACGAAAATAATGTTTTCAATATTAGACGGTTAGAACCGATTTTAAAAATATCTTTGAAAGCATCATGGACTATTTGAACCGCCATGGTTCAACCTGACCTGGTTCCAGCAGAGCAGGTTTACTTCTTGAGGTTACCTGTCCAGGTGTCTAGCAAAAACAGTTTACTACTTGAGGTTACCTGTCCTGGTTCTATCAGAACCAGTTTATTACTTGTCAACCTGTCAACCGGTTTACTACTTGAACCTACCTGTCCTGGTTTTAGCAAACCGGCTTTACTACCTAAGTCAACTTGTCCTAGTTCTAGCAGAACCGGTTTACCACTTGAACCTACCTGTCCCGGTTTTAGCAAAACCGCTTTACTACCTGAGTCAGCCTGTCCTGGTTTACTACTTGAATCTACCTGTCCTGGTTCAAGCAAAGCCGGTTTACTTCTCTTGAGTCAGCTTGTTCTTGTTCTAGCAAAACCGGTTTACTACCAGGGTCAACATGTTCTGGTCCCAGAAGAACCGGTTTACTAACAGGGTCAACATGTTTTGGTTCCAGTAGAACCAGTTTACTACCAGGGTTAACATGTTCTGGTCCCAGTAGAACCGCTTTACTACCTGAGTCAACCTGTCCTGGTTTACTACTTGAATCTACCTTTTTGGTTCTAGCAAAGCCGGTTTACTACTCTTGAGTCAACATGTTCTGGTCCCAATAGAACCGGTTTACTACCAGGGTCAGCATGTTCTGGTCCCAGTAGAACCGATTTCCCCGGATAAGCCGGCCATGTGTAAAATGTGTACCTTGGCTGGAGAATTCAGTTTTTCTATTTAAAGTTATGTGTCGCTAAATACTAAAGCTGAGATACTTTCCAACATTTTTGAGAGAATGAAGGGAAATTTATAGAGACAGGGTCGTATCTTCTCCCCCTTCCCTTTCTCCCAACCCATCCCTAGCTCCAGGTATACTTAGCAGCAGGCAGTTTGTTTAATTTTAATTGATCTTTTTTAACTGGGGAACTCTAGTCCTGTATAACTGGTCAGAATATTTCTAATATCCAGCTTTCAACTGATTTAATCTTAACTCCATCTTCAAGTATTTTTTTTACAAAAAGCACGAACATTTTATTATTCAAATTAGAGAGACTATTCAACCCAGTTTTTTTTTATCAAACTGACCCTTTATTTTGCATTAATCTCTTAAATCTGGGATTTTAATTTAAAAATTAACTAATTCTTTAGAAATAAATTAGCGGATTTTTACAATATATACGAACCATTAAATGGTCTATTGTATATTAAAGGAACCCCAAAATATAAACTAAAATCCTTTTAATGTTGGTTATTGGAATAGGAAAATTTATAAAAGGGTGATTTGCGAACTAAACTAAACTTTTAAAGTTTGAAAATTTCAAAAACGTTTCTACAAAGATTTTAGTTTTCCCCTGAAAGTTCATTTAATAATAAAAATCATGTTTAAATAATGCTTATAGTCAAAACTAATGTACAGTTTGACTTTTTACCAATGTTTTAAAAAATATTTGGCAAAAGGCCACAGTTTATGTCAACAAATTCATTATTCTGTATGTAAACTTCAAAACTTTTAAAACTTTTTATTGTTGTATTCAAAATCTCAGTAACTTTTGGCGGTTTTGCTTCATTTAAACCTGCTAAACCCTGTAGGACAGGATTAAACTTTCCTTT